GTATTTTATTATTATTATTATTATTATTATTATTATTATTATTATTATTATTATTATTATTATTATTATTATTATTATTATTATTATTTTTCTGTTTTTAACAATTGTGATTGTGATCAACAAGGAGATACTTCCTATTTTGAGTTTTCTTTTTTATGTTATTTTTTGTCATGATGTACTTCCTATATGTAACAAGAGAGTGTTTTTCATTTTTTTTGTTTCATGTCTGAGATAAATATATCATGAATTGCAATAACTTTTTCCATTAGTACAAAGTGTTGGCAATATCTCAAAATACTTTTGACAAATGATTTCATGCATGGAAGATTATGAAGTGGCTCAGGGAATTAGCCAAATGACTCCTGCATGGGAGGTTATTGATAAATGACTTTTAACCTATGACACGTGTCATGATTAGAGACCATTTTACATCTATAAATAGCTAATTATAACTGCATCATTTTTTATCATAAGCAATCATAAACCTACTTCGTTAACTCTTTCTCTTGCCCCAATTTTTCTTTCTGTGATCATTTACTTCAACATACTGTTAAATGATCCTTCTCTTATTCTCATTTGCTGAATTATTGGTTTGTTATTTAAATTTATTTTCTTGCTCCTCCCCCGTAGAGAAATACCTGTTTAATTCGGAAAGACTTTGAAACTACTCAAAGGTAAAACGGTCTTTACGCCACTGAATCCAATTGCCAAATCAGTAAACAAACTTACAACTTTTCCATTTTGAGCACCTCAACTCATACATTTGTGAACTAATAAACCCCTTCAACAGGTTATGTATAACAATTGTGCTGACATTATAACATATCACATTCTAGGACTATTTGTTGCTTGATATGTATAATTTGTGTCCCACTTCTTTTAACCAATTTATTAAAATTTTGATTTCGTTTTCTTTCCTTTTTTTCTTCATCGTCTACTACAGATAGGACAACTCTATAAATTTCTTTTTCTTTTTCAATGCCATCACACACACTACATCATCTCCTCACTCACACCTCTGCCACTAGCACCATCACATCATCACCAATAAGTCGAAGTCAGTAAAAATTATCTCAACCAGAGACCGAAAAAGGGGAAAAAGAACCAACACAGACAACTCCATTAGTTGTTCTGTCTCTAAAACCACAAGCTCATCACTCCTTTTTTCTTTCTTTTTTATTTTTTTATATTTTCCCGATTTTAGAAATTTTTAATCAAATTATTGTATTCACGCACGTTAATTAAATGACTTGCACACACTTTATCCGTATTATCATCTGTGCCACTGCCACATAAGCATAGTTAATGGTCAGAAGAGTTTATTAATTCACAATTGTATGAGTTGAGGTGTTCAAATGAGAAATTGTAAATTTTGTCAATTTTTCCAACACAAAATGCTTGATTTGTTTCTCCATATATAACTGAAGCATAGTTGTGTAGAACTACTAAAGCTTACGGATGGTTAAATTAGTACACATATATTGACCATTATAAATGATTATAACTCTACTGTTCTAGAATAATTAAAGGAGTATGTATAATGTGCTTGGTAGTATATTAATTTGATGGATTAATTAATATGCTTCTTTCTAAGAAATAATCGTGTTATTTACCTAAGGAGGCCACTTTTGTGTCCTTGTATTTAAAAGTTGGCCAATTGTTTTTCAAAATTAGACACGTAATTTTTAAATATCTGATCATGTGATCACACAAAAATTTCTCCAACTTACACTTAAAAAAGTGACTGATAGAGCTCGCAAACATTTCTTTTTGCCTTTTATAATATAACAAATATGACTAGTTAAAATAACAACCACTCAGTAAAATTTTACAAGTAGTGTGTACGTAAACCTTACCCCTAATCCGGAAGAGTAGAAAGACTATTTCGATAGACCCTCGACAATGACCAGTTAAAATACAACAGTTTATTTGAGACAGAGAGTATAACATGAGTTATATACAATATTGTGTTATTAAAAAATGACTTTTTTTTTTCAATTTTCCAATAGTTAAACAAATCTTTAGTACCCTTGAGTTTTCATCCAACTTTTTGCCAAAGCTCCGCCGAAAAAGTAATTGTAAGTTGTAACAATTCGACCTTCCATTATGAGTTCTGTGTCCCGAATAGTATTTTGTTCCGCCGTCGGCCTTGGCATTTATGCATATATTTTCANTATATGGTTTGAGTAAAAACTAGAAACTGATGTGTTTTGCTGGTATTTGGTGCCCTACGAACGCGAGGGTGGTTCACAATCTCGAAGGCACAAAGCTACGGGTCAGGACAACAAATTAGTTACCATTATCAGTTTGATCAGAGACGATAATTCTAAACTCATGTTTGAGTTATGCACATGATTATGAAAGGATTTAAGCTTCCAAAATATGAGAATTGATGGGTAAAAATTGGGATCTTAGCCCTAAGCTCCTATTTTAGTGTATTGAGGATTTGAATGGATAATTGAACCCTAATTGTGAAACTAACTATACATTTGGACTACCTCCTTAGCTTATGTGTAACCCTGATCTATAATTATTCCACTAGTACCCCATTGACCGAGAATTTACTTTGATCATTGACTTTGACTATTGTTTACCCTAAAAACAGATAACAATTGAATTTATAAGGACACGTAATTTTACTTGGCACAAACTGAAAAAAACACAATATTGTTATTGAAATTAACTGCAAAAAATAATAATAAAGCAAATCAAAATAGGCGTATAACTTTGATTCTTGAGCTAGGTCGCTTTCGAATCAAACAAGTACTTCACTGGAAAGTATGAACAAAATAACAGAGTGTTGAGAGCTTAAGAAGAATTTAATAACGTGAATGTGATCTCCTTTACAAATGATCAGACCCCCTTTATATAGTAGGGGCGTCCTACCCTTAATACAATCCTAAATATGGTAATAAATCCCATGATTAGCTGATTAATCGGATCTTCTTGATACGTGCCAAGATTTCCGCCGTGATCCTTGCCCGGTTGCGGATATATCGACTTTCCATTATTTGACTCGGCAGGCTCCCCTCGGTCTTGCTCGATCTCTGCCCCGCTCAGTCTCGATCTCGATCGGTCCCTGAGTCACGAGCTTGGCCATCTACTTCGTGTCTCGGTCCAGTATGGCATGGGGTCGAACCCTATCCTGTCACACCCCGGTCTCGATTAATCATAAAAAGGGGCAAGCCCAATTTTGACCGTATACAGATAGTCCCCTCGTTTTTTGGAGAGTAATGGCAAGAAATGACTTAAGCCCTCGATCTTCACCATGACACAAGCAACAGAGTTAACCGAAATGTCTCGTCGATACAGTTTCCCAGGCATTTAATGCGCGCCAGTCAGCGGTCGACCACTACCGGATTTGAACCGTCATCTTAAACCTATAAATGTATCTTTCTTCTTTTTCCCAAACTTTACTTTCAAATCTTCTTTTTTCTCACCCTCAAAATCCTTTACCTTTTTCAAAGCTTTATATTCTCAGATATCTGGTGTTTCTTCGCACATTTCATCACAAAATTCTTCTGAGTATCCATTTTTCTTCATTCGTAAAAGTAAAAAGGGCTAAGCTTTCAAAAACTGTTCCACAAAAGAAAACAACTTCTTCATCAAGGCCCGCCGCCGACGGAGCCGTGGTGGAACCTCTCCTAGAGGACTTCGTTCCGACAAAGTGCCCCACTACTCCTGATTTTAAGGTATAGAATACACCTGCGATACTGGGTCGATGCGAACCGGTCTCGAGGTACATATGTACAATTACCAATGACCTCCTTGACCAAGTTAAAGAGGACTATAACTGGGTCGAAAGCACGTGGTGGTGCCCTCGCCAGAGAAATCAACCACTACTCATGTGGAAGGGTTTATAAGTGTTTATACTTATCCTTTCACATTGGGTCCTTTAGACCCTATCATCGTTGCTTTCTGCAAGAGGTACGATGTGACCCTTGGCCAGATCCACCCATCATTCTGGAGGATCGTGATCCTTCTCTGATTTTTGTAAGCAAGTTCAAGGGGCATCCTTTTACCCTCGATCACCTTATACGTCTCTATAGTCCCTGGCTTTATCGGGGAGGATTGATCAAGCTCTACTACCGAGCCACCAAGCCCCCATTCTCGAGTATAGACGAGACTCGAGACCGAGGTTGGATGGGCCGATTTGTTTGAATAAGGACATCAGACCTAATCCTTGCCGAAGACATGCCGTTTCCTAAAAGAATGGAACATGAATCATAAGTATTTCTTCACCTTGAATATCTAACTTTGCCTTTTTACTTCTCATATTCTTTCCTCGTTTATGTTTTTTGTGTTGCAGCTGTGTCCTGTGTGCCAGAAGTAATCCCCTATCTTAGGCAATGGGTCGAAAGCTTAGTGTAGCAGAAGTTATACTCTGAGCGTGCTTGGACGGAGTTATAAAAGGGTCAATGGGAGGACCATAACCACAATAATTTTCTTTCTTAGAACGGTTATCATTCGGGTCTTGTATCGATCTTACTCATTTTTTTTCATTTGTAGGCCTCGGGAAGAATATAGCAATGAGGCCCACATCTGCTGAAGAAGAGGCACTTCCTTCTCCTTCTACCCCAAAGCAAGCCAAAGAGAAGAAAAGAAAAGGGGCTCCGAGCTCTCCGGGCCTGAAAAAGAAA